AATCACAACTAAAATATTATCTGAGCCTTTCAAAACTGTGCTCTTTTAATGAATACTATTCGAGACCATCAATTTGTTTTTATTAAATAATAAATAGTTGAAAAACGCGTTTTCGTCATAAAGAATATCCCATCAAAATCATATTCTGGGAGACTTCCCGATAATGTTTTCATTCGTCGGCCAGTGCCTCCAGGACCCGTTTGGATTATTAGCATTTGTTAGCCGGACGACTGTATGGAATATAAATCATTGCGATGAATATCTCATAACTGTGTAAAACTGTATGTTGCCACTGTATGTTGTCGTGGTTGAAAATCGTTGAACACAGCTGCAGGTCTTACACTAACAATAATGGAAGGTAGATCTAGTTTCGGAACTATCGACTGATGACCTGCAGCACAACACAGTAATGTACACGAAGAATGGTTTTATTTCCTGAAAAAGCACCTGCGTCGAGTGCAAAAATAAGTTAGGGTGGAGTCGTTGCTGATTGGACTAGTGGCGGATTTCAGTGATCTATCATCGATGATTAGAGATGATTACATACGCGGTTAGGTATATATATTGTCTTCTCGCCGTGACCTGAGTATAATTTATTGCTGTATAACTACGTGGGCGGTCCTAGGAAATAAGTAACGATGAGGTAGGCAATCCCAGGATTAAGGGGGAGCAGAGGGGTACGAACCCGGGGCTCATATTTTTCAACACAATACTTTTTTATGCACACATTCCAAAAATATATTAAAAAAGGTTCATAAAATTACGTTATAATAAATTCATATAAATTCATATTTGATAGCAATATGATAAAGTTCGTAAATTAGTGAAAATGAGAATTGTGAACGATTTAGTTCAAAGTAGTAGCTTGTGGGGTATTATCTTGTAATTATTTGAATATAATATTCAATAATAAAATTAATTATATTCTCATATTAAATTATAAATTGATAATATTTAAGGGTTTTAGGTAAATTCAAGTGAGGTAACAATATTATATATAAGTGGCTAACGCTATTAGCTTATTCGGTGTCAATATAATTAGTTACTGCAGTGTTGTGTTGACGTCTGTATCTTTGTTTGAATAATTTATAATTGTTTATAACTCGTGCATAAAAATTAATAACCATCACAATAACTATTTTGATAGTCATATTAGTTTTTAGTTTTTTATTATTATTATTATTATTGTGAATAGTACTTACAAAATTAAAAAAAAAATATATATATATATACATGTTTAAGTCTTGAAAGGCCAATTTGTGGCTATATGTGTCAGGTATTTCGGGACCCAATGGATTTAAATTAATCCTAGCTTGGAGTTATAGGTTAGGTACCTGCAGTATACAATGAGATACAAAAATCGGGATTTAACCTATGTCTTGACCGCATTGAAAACGTGATTTTTAAATATTATGCAGCCTATCTGTACCTAGTGTGCTGAAACTAAAATATTTTAATCGCAGTAGCCTATAATATTATGTTAATATGATATCGACAAGGAAAAATAGAAACATTTGTTATATTTTAATACTCGAAGATGTCATCACTCATCAATCATCAATATAAACACTAAGCAAAGCTTAATATTGCTTTGAATAAAGTTAATGTATATGAAATTATTTGTCGATGAAAAAAATCGAATACCCACATAGTTTTTTACTCGAGTAAATGGTTATCATCAAATCATGATCCGAATTTTTACATTAACACACAGTTATAAGTATAGTAACTAATAAGTGGTAGATTGGAGAAACCATTTATCACATAAAAGTTTTGACCGTTGGAAAATGATTTATTAACTAAACTATTGGTTTATATTTCCGACCGGAAATAAACAATGACCAAGAGTGTTATTTGCGAACGTATAAATGTTTATGGGCTAGTTTTAGCATTATTTAATAATGTCTGATATCACTAAATCAGTATTGGTAAATTTTTAATAACAGTCTTGGTTTAAATATTATAAAATAATATAGAATACACACAAAAATTATCTATTTATAGATTATATTCATAATTAAAAATAATAAAAATATCCATAAATAATTCAAATTATACAGGTAAAAATATGTTTTCTTTAAAAATTGATTGCATTTCTGTGTCGCGAGTAAAACGTAGCTTATAACTATATATATAGACAAATATTTTGTATTATTTTCTGAAAAGTTTTTTTTTTACATCACATTTTCAGTTTAATCTTGATGACTTGACAATTGATAAGTTAATTCTAGGATTATCTCATATCATATAAGTTTTTTTTTCAAGTTTTGTAAAAATAGAGATGCGACCTTTTTCACTGCGGAGGACGATATTATGTTACTACGATTTGATGTGACAAAGAAACTTCAAAATTATTGTTTAAATATTTATATAAACGTTTAAAAATACAATTTGGTTAATACCTGTATTAAATTATCAAATGATGACGACGTATTCATAATAAATATTATGTTGTACCTAACTATACCAGCCTTTATTAATTTTGATAAAATATCTAATTATGAATTTTATAATTTAGTATTTAAACAAAAAGTTAGTTAAACCCTATTCAATTTTCCATAACTCACTTATATACGAAATGTATTGAATATTGTATGAATAAATGTTTATAAGCACTTAAAAATTGAGGAAACTTCACTCAAAATAGTCTGCACAGATAAAGATACATTTGCTTCAAAGTTTAAAATATATAATAATAATAATAATAATACATACTTACTTGGTACTTGTTTAAAATATTGAACATTAATATGTACTTGCTGGACGTTTGTGCTGAAGTTGGAAAAGTGATTACAAAACGAATAGCCATTCACAGTATCCATATGTGCAGCATATAGGTACATTAGAATATTGTTATATATGATATATTTGTTTCAATTTGTAATAATATTATGAAAAGTTTAATAAGGAATGATTGGCATACTGTACAACTTGGTATTATCAACATTTAAAATAATGTTTTGAAATAATTGATAGCAACATATTTGTTAAAATCTTAATCTTTTGTTAGGTATGAAATTGAAATGAAAATCTACTACTAATATAAAAATGAAGTATTATATTTTTATATTTTTAAATTATTATTATTATCATAGGTATTTGCATTATATATTTATATTATTATTTGCAAGTAGGTAGCCTCTCTGCTGTACAGTAGATGTTAAATGTACCTCATCATTGCTAGGTCACTATTATAATGGATGTCATGTTGAATTCGAATTCAATGATAAGTCATTGTATTCGATTAAAAAACATTTTGAGTGAAGTTGGTCTAACTTTTTGATAACCAAGATTACGTACCAAAAAATTATTTTAGTAATTATATTAATATTTTAACAATTAATGTTCTAACTTTTTTTCCCCCAATTATTTTAAAAAGTACTAAGTAATTTGTACCTTTTATCCAGCAAACTATAACTAGATTCAATTTACTACCAGAAATCTATCTCAAAGTTAACGATCTGAGAATTTTTACTACTAGATTACTAAACTATTACTAAAAATTTCTTCAGTTACAAAAAATTTAAAAAAAAGCACACATCATTGTAAATTCAATATATTCATTGTTCTGCTCAGAATCTAAAATAAACGAATTAATTAATTAATAATATCTTAAATCTAAATCAAATTATAAAAATAAAATCAATTTAATTTTGCTGAAATTATAATTATAATAAATATTTGTTCTAACTGGACAATATTTTGCATTTAGGTACGTCTTTATTTTTATAATCTGTAACTTCATAGATGTATTAACATACCTAATATTTTATTAATATTACTTTACCATATTGTACTGCTCTAGTGACCTAGAGATTGAATAAGAAGTGCGTTATGCATTATATCAGTATTTATGTTAATTGAGTCTCAATTTTATTCTTTAGAGTAATTATACTTAAATAATGATAATTTAATTATTATAATATTGTTAATTATTATTAATACACTTACCCATTACTATTTACAATATTTTTTGTTTTAATTAATATTAAAGTGTTAAATAATTTTGAGCAGTAAATAAACATTGTTTTAAATTTATAATAAAGAAATTACTGATACATGTTATTAAGACAAATTTAAGGTATGTTAGGTACTATCATAATGATTTTTAATTTGACATAAATCGGTTATTACGTATACGTTGTAATTTGCAAATGCATTTATTGAGATACCATTATTTTATTTTAATTCTTTAAATTAATTATATTATTTAAAAAAAAACACATATATTGTGTTTATCCAGTTGGAGTAGTATGCCAAAAATTGCTAGATAGTTTATATTTACGCTTCCACACAAACTACTAGACTACTACAGACAGGAAATATGACCCGTTCATTATGCGTATTTTGCATTATTATAATATATGAGAAAAAGTTCGAAGAAGACGTTTTTATTATATTGTTTATCGCCATTAAACCGTCTCGATGTTTAAGAGCGGAAAATGTATATAAATCAACAAGCCTCCAGAACTAATAGCAATGACAGATTTAACATTGATATTTATAATAGTTAAGGGTGTATAATACTGTATAAACTACAATATAATATACTAGTAAATGACACCAGCTTAAATAAATAAGAAAAAAAATGTTTAAAGACAATTCTAATAATAGTATAAAATATGTATTTATTATAGTTATAAATGTAATTTTAATTATAAGTGGATGACAATAATATTTTCAAGATTGTATCATTTAGTTGTATTCCAGACAAATATAACGGAGAAGAAGTATACGTCACTGAGTATGAAATCATTATAATATACAAACCACTTATGACCTTTAATTAAAAGCCATAAATAAAGCAATATAATATTATGTAATATTATAATAAAAATATATATTATTCGTTGTTTAAAAAAAATATAAATGCATGCATTAATAAATAGGTAGCTCAATAAATTGTATGTAAGAAAATATTGTATAATATTTGTATAATTTAAAAAAGTTTCATTATAGTAGATATACATCACTAAGTACTACATTCTTATTTCTACTAATTACATACCTAGAAAACCTTTGATTGATTTCACTATATATATAGCATATGGAGTATTACAGTAATAATGACCAAATATAAATTCGTGGCATAATACTATTTCTGGTTTTTTCGTAGGTGAGCTTGGAGTAGAAATTGACGGTGAACTTGGAGCTCTTGTTGTAGTTTCTGGCACAGATGTACTTGGAGATATTGTAGTATAAGGGGACGGAGGTGGATGTGTAGTCGCGGCTTCAGTAGTCTCTGGCACAGGTGTACTTGAAGGTATTGTAGTATTAGGTGACGAAGGTGGATGTGTGATCGAAGCTTCAGTAGTTTCTGGCACAGGTGTACTTGAAGATATTGTAGTATTAGGTGACGAAGGTGGATGTGTGATCGAAGCTTCAGTAGTTTCTGGCACAGGTGTACTTGAAGATATTGTAGTATTAGGTGACGAAGGCAAATATGTAGTTGGAGGTATTGTAGTTTCTGGTGAAGATGTACTTGGAGATATTGTAGTATCAGATGACGAAGGCAAATATGTAGTTGGAGGTATTGTAGTTTCTGGTGAAGATGTACTTGGAGATATTGTAGTATCAGATGACGAAGGCAAATATGTAGTTGGAGGTATTGTAGTTTCTGGTGAAGATGTACTTGGAGATATTGTAGTATCAGATGACGAAGGCAAATATGTAGTTGGAGGTATTGTAGTTTCTGACGAAGGTGTACTTGGAGTTATTGTAGTATCTGATGACGAAGGCAAATATGTAGTTGGAGGTATTGTAGTTTCTGGCGAAGGTGTACTTGGAGTTATTGTAGTATCTGATGACGAAGGCAAATATGTAGTTGGAGGTATTGTAGTTTCTGGTGAAGATGTACTTGGAGATATTGTAGTATCAGATGACGAAGGCAAATATGTAGTTGGAGGTATTGTAGTTTCTGGCGAAGGTGTACTTGGAGTTATTGTAGTATCAGATGACGAAGGCAAATATGTAGTTGGAGGTATTGTAGTTTCTGGCGAAGGTGTACTTGGAGTTATTGTAGTATCTGATGACGAAGGCAAATATGTAGTTGGAGGTATTGTAGTTTCTGGCGAAGGTGTACTTGGAGTTATTGTAGTATCAGATGACGAAGGCAAATATGTAGTTGGAGGTATTGTAGTTTCTGGTGAAGATGTACTTGGAGATATTGTAGTATCAGATGACGAAGGCAAATATGTAGTTGGAGGTATTGTAGTTTCTGACGAAGGTGTACTTGGAGTTATTGTAGTATCTGATGACGAAGGCAAATATGTAGTTGGAGGTATTGTAGTTTCTGGCGAAGGTGTACTTGGAGTTATTGTAGTATCTGATGACGAAGGCAAATATGTAGTTGGAGGTATTGTAGTTTCTGGTGAAGATGTACTTGGAGATATTGTAGTATCAGATGACGAAGGCAAATATGTAGTTGGAGGTATTGTAGTTTCTGGCGAAGGTGTACTTGGAGTTATTGTAGTATCTGATGACGAAGGCAAATATGTAGTTGGAGGTATTGTAGTATTAGGTGGCGACACAGTTGAAATTGTGATTGTAGTAATTACAGTGGGTAGTAACGACGATGAATTCTCTATAGTGGTCGTATATTCTATTGTTGGAGATTCCGTAGTTGTCGTCTCATTGTAATATTCATCTACATTTTGAAACATGATTTAAATGTCTTAAAATAATATAAATGTTTCATTTTATACCTAATAGTGTTAATTGTATTTTTATTTCTTATTAACGTATTAATAAATTATTTGAATGTTAAACTAATTATTACTAAAACGTCTTTAAACCAGGGACCAGGAACCGTCTCGAAAAGAACTTCTGGGAACCGTTAAAATAATGGAAACTGGAACGTTACTGAATCCTTTATTTGTATTAATTTTAAAACCAGAACTTTCACTGTTACTTTTAGGTAAAGTCGTAAAGGTTTAAAATAAAATCAATTTTTTGAGAATTGGAGTGATATATTTTAAGATCCGTCATTGAAACCGGAACCGATTTCATTTAGGCTCTAAAGTCTAAACTCTAATTTAAAGTGTAAAGTTTACATAATTTTGACTGATAGAATTATTATTTATTTTATAGGAATTCAAGTTATTCAATAATGCATTTGATAACAATTACGAGTTTTTCTAATACTTGTTCATATTGTCACAATCAAATTTTATTATAAATTATTAAAAAATTATCATAACATATTTTGAGGAGATTCTGGTTTACTCAACATAATCCTAGATTGATTTTTATAAATCTATATTAGACTTAATAGTAGATAATTTATAAATTAAAAATAAATAAATTTATCATAATATGTATAAATATGAATAGTTTTGGTGAATTTACCAAAAAACTAATAATATAAGGGAATCATTTATGATAGATCTAAGAGTATTTATACAGCACACTAATTATGCCCATAATAAATAAAAATACTACAAATTGTTACTTATTAACCCAATTATCAAGGGTTTGTGCCTGTTTCGGTTTATATTTATTTTTAAGGTTCCTACCTACCTATTTAGGTAAATTATGCATTTATTTTTTGATTCCCCGCTCATTTCACTAGATACAGCAGTATTTTATTGTTAGTAGGTACCTAATTACGACGTTATATTTAATTCAACAATTTTCCATAATATAATATAAAGTACTAGACTGTCTTTGAATATGCCATCCACATTCATTATTCTATTATCCAAGTAGTTATTATTTATTACCTAGTTATTTTAATACTTATAATGAACATATTTTTTTTAACATTAACTTAATTTATTGATTGAAGTTAATGGTATTTCTTATGTAAATTTGAAATTGTTTCTATTTTTCAAAATACTTGTTTATTTTATTTTAAATTTAATTTAAAAACAATACTATACTTAAATTAATCTAGTTAAGAAATATTATTAACTTTCACAGCGTTGTCAATTATTAGTTGATGTGTTAAAATTCAGGAGCTACGGTGTTGATCTTTTGTTTAATAGTTAATTTTACTTAGGTAAATACCTTAGTCAGGAATTATATTGGGAAAATTGTGTTTTGTGCGAAGATAAATTGAGTAGGTAGGGTTAAATCTTTTTTTTAAATATTCATTCAAAAATCAGATAGGTAGTTTTTAGAAAACGATTTTAGTAATAGTTCAAAGCTTAACGATAGTTCATCTATTAAACGTATAAAATAAATTGAATTATGTAGGTATTGATAATATTTCTAAAGTATAATACATATTAAGTAAGTACATAATAATATAAGTTATATTTGAATTTAAAATGGTTTAGTTTGAAATAAAATATCACGTATGAAACTATGAACATATTATTAGTGTTGTAAGATATAAGTGAGAAAATTAAATCACCAAAGTCAAAAAGTTTGTAGAAAAAAGTTATTGATCAGTGAAAGTATGTAATAATTTAAATAATCCTAGGAGTTAACAGTATTAAATGTCTGTAGTTCACAAAAAGTGTTATAAATAAATATAATTTAAATTTAACTGTTTAACTTAACTAGTTACCTACCTCTGGGTATCCGCTAAATTAATTAATAACTTAATTTACTTAATTGTTTTTTTTATTGAACATGAGATCAAGGAATTTCATTTTCATTTTAAGAAGTTAAGGTAAATTATTTTGTTTTAAATTTTCAATTTATTCATTACATTTCAATCGAATGTTTGGTGTAAATTGTTTAGTTAAAATTAACTTATCGAAAAAATAATTAATAACAATTAACAATCGGTGTTAAAAATAGACTAGAATTATTATTTTTTAAGAGTGACGTAAGTTGAAAATTGTATACCTACAACTGTACCTAAGAGTGGTATACAAAAAAAAACCAATATAAAAAACCAACGGTGAGAAAACCAAATAAAATAAAAAACCAAAATTATAATATAATCAAAGTTTTTGAGGTATATCTTTTTCCTTTATTCTATTACTGTTACTTAATAATAATAATAATATTTGTACTATTATTAAATAATATTAAAAAAAGAAAAATTAATTCATACAATACATTACATTTGAAAAAATTATTTTTTAAATTTATATTTTAAACTAAAAAACAAATAATTTCTAACTTCTAACTTAAGTTACTATTTTCGCCAAACTAACCTCTATAAATTTGGTAAATTTCAGAAATTTTCTTATATTCCAATTTAGTTACTTTTTATATTAAAGTAACTTAACTTTAACTAGTTGTAAAAAGTGATTAACTTGCCCAGCTTTGAAATTGGATAAAATAAATATATAATTAATTGTATAATATTTGAATGTATAATTAATTTCTATATAATTTTTATAATATTGATACCACAGCATATAGATTGTATATTATATTTTGTGATAATGCTAATCCTATGATTATATTATCACTTTGGTTTTTTTTCAGTTTTTTTTTATTTTTTATTTTTATCTCCGTGGTTTTTTTCCCGGAATTCCTAAGAGTAGGTAGTATACTAAATGGCCATTACTAGTCGATTTTGATGGTATACTTTATTAGAAATCGAAATATTATATAATAATATAATAACAATTTATAAATATTAAATTACTATAGGTACTTACTGATTGCCATTGGTGAAATTATATTTGTACCTACTGAAGTCATGCGTTTGAATATGTTCATTTTCAGGAAATCAAAATGTTTAAAATGACCTATTGAAGTTTATAGATGGTCAAAATTGTATAAGACACAACAATAATATTATGATTAATATTTTATTATATAATACTATAATAGTATGTAATATTAATAGTATAGTATTTAATTTTAGTGTCTTTAATACCTAGTATTCAATAATATTTTTATTAATTCATACAAATTCATAATTGGATATTAGACAATAGTCATATTACAAAGAAAAAGTAATACAACTCAATACTCATCATTTTTAGGTATTGATGTATTATTACTTATTAATTAGTTATTAGCTATTAGATAGGTACAAACAATATTGTTACATGTTTTGAGATGAAAAACATCAACGAAATACTAAAAAGAAATACTGTAAAAGCCCTACATATACCTATAGCTTAATGTTGATAAAAATAAAGTAGGATAGTGTCGTTTTGTACAAAAAAAATTAACTCAATAAAAAGATTAAAAAAATGTATATTATACTCTTAACTTTTAACTTTTACTCAAAAACGCTCATAATTAATTAACAACAATTAACTAAACTGAGTTAAGAAAAAAAACATTAACTTGCCCAACATTGAGTGTTCGTGATAATTTTATCGTAATGTATTAGAAACATTTTTTTTCGATTAAATTCTCTATATGACTGAACTTTTGCCATCTATGTTGACACTTAGTTGTGTTAAAAAAACTTTGACTTTTTTTTATGATTAATAGCTTCATATTTGAGCGTTTAATCTTCAACAACTTTACAATATATTCTGGACATAAAATAAGTAGCTATAATCAGTCATGTACATAGACAGTCTGATGGCATTACATATTTTCTAAAGTCACTATATCATCAATTGTGCCTATATATAATTGATACTCTTTTTATATTAAATACTGAACTTTTGGAAATATTTTTAGCAACATCGATGTTTATAGTTTCTAAATAATAATAATATTAAAATGATGCATAAATTACTAAATTATTTTCTCGACTAAAACATTTTCTAAAACCAAAATAAAAGTATAAAACATAATATTATATAAAAAATACTCGTTAAAAAAATAAATCGTATTTTTGTTATTTACTTGAATCAAATCTTAATTTTAAAATTTTGAATTTAGGGATGAATGAAGTTTTCATTTTACTCAATTAATTAAAAATGTCATGATGAAAAAAAATCATTTTGTACATTGCTTAGTAAGTTTTTTAACTGTACATCATAATATTACTGTCAAACGCTTAAACGTACAAATTTGAGTAAATAATTTCTATTTGACTGAGTATATTATTTGTATAAACATAAATGTTATAAATTATCATTTATTAAAATATATTTTTAATTCACATAGGTACCTATATGAATGAGTACATGTTTTATTTTCATTCAACTCATAACAATTGTATACAATAATTATGTAAATTAAATCAATATCAATAAGTGATGATCTTCATTTCAATAATTAATTCTTTTATTTTTTTTCAAGATATATAGGTAGGTATGCTATACAAGATATTAAGAATATTATTTCTTCTCTTTCAAGACATTAATTAAATTGTTTAAATTAGTAGGTACTAGGTAAGTATGTTTAGGTATTTAATTATATATTGTAGGTACACAAGACGGACAGATAGATAGATGGATAGGTATTTTACGCCCCAAATAAGAAAAAGGCACATAGTTTTGTGATATTAGATTTAATTTAGTTTGACGTTCGCGAACTACCATTTAGTAGTATAATCTTTAAAATTTAAAATTAACAGTGGAAACAATTTCAATGAACTTTTTATATCGTATATTAGTTGATGTAACACGGTTAGTTATTATATTATTATATCGTATGTGGGCTACTTACCTTTTACTGGACTCGCAAAGCTTAAAGTCAACACGGTTAAAATTAAAATGCATAGTACAAATAAAAAGTTAAAACGGCACATATTTGCCGACGACGACATTATCGCCGTAATTGACAACAGTGATCAAAAACTTAAGTGTAAAAATAATTTTTATTTAAAAAAACGAACGAATTAGAA